ACAGTTAAAATATTTTACATTCAAAACTGTATGATCATATAACAAATAAATGACTACACGAGCACATTGCCAAGGTTACTACCTGTCAGCACCAGTGACCCATGAAAGAAAGAACCTGAAAGCTTAGCTTGATTAGCATTGACTTTAACTTGCCTACTTCATTAGGTCTATAGTACAACACTCTATTAACTCATATCAAAGTTCTGTGACCATATACAAAACCTTCCCAGAAAGTTCTAAGTTAGCATCTAAATTCTTCATTAGTACATGAATGTTACTATTCCCCAAAGGATCCTGCATTATAAGTTTGCCCCACGTGTGGTGGTATTTATCGAACTTTTCAGAGAAAGCATCTATTGTAAGGCAGGTAGGTCCCTGGGGAACTGACCTTCACAGGTGTTAGTGTGGGTTTCATGGAACAAGTCTCAAGGGAGCAAGCTGTAACACTAGTGCAAGCCTGGTCCCCGAATCCCTCCAGGTCCTTATCCTGTGACCTCCCTGTTTCACAAGCTTTCACCACAATGCCATCTATCATTTGACCCTCATCTGGATCTTGGACTTTCAGTCTCTGAAACTACGAGTCAAACAAACCTCTTTACTTCACACACACCCTGCTTCAGACATTTTGTTATATCTGAAATAGATTAATAAAAATTCTTTGGTATTTTTGTATACCTAGGGAATTGTATAACTTATGAAGTGGGACGTGACATTTGGAAGCTTCTTGGGTGTTTAAAACTGACCCATTGACCCATGAAGTTAGTAAATAGCAAATACCTGAGTAGTTCTGCATAATTACAGGAGAAAAAGCAGCCCAAGACAGAAAAAAAAGAGTAAAAGAAATGCAGACACTGAATGAGAATGCAGAGCTCTAGTTTTTCATGAAGTGGCTAGTGTTCTACAGACCTCTGTTTTACTAGGTGAAAAACAGTAGATGTATTTCTAGGTGTAGTAATGCCTAATATTTCATTTCAGAATCTTTTTCACCCCAAGATGTTTAAGTAACTCCTTTATATTCAACAGTTTTTCACTCAACACTGAATAAGTTTGATCTGGTGATACTTTGGAAAAGCTAAAGAGGACATGGGATCCATTGTGGGTCAAAATGGACCAATAGAATAGTAAGATGTGGATTTAAGTGCAAAGCAACCACCTCTTCTAAAGCTGAAGAGATCTTGGACTGACAAGCTGATTACAAAGGATCATTAAAATGCTTGGGGAAACTGCCTGAGACTACATAGCGTGTACATGAATTGCTGCTTTTATTGCTGCAGGTTGTCAATATTATTTTCTATCAAAAAAATCTAAGCAAAGAGGACATGAAGATACCATCAAATCTGACATCATACAGCAACATATGCTTATTGATTTAGCAAATGTCCATTTTCTCTTTTATTTCACATTTTACCCCATTTATATTTATTTTTATCCCTCACCTGTTATTTAGTTGAACAAGGAAGAAAAGACTTCCTAGCTTACTCCAAGCATTGTCTACCACTCACTGCATTTTGCTTCCAACCCTGTTGAACGTCTCTTATTTCCTCGTTGCCCTTTACTTACAGAATTTTCAGCTACATCCTCCTCACAGGTAAATGTAAACCACATTCTCTATAGGTGTTTGACCAGAAGATCATAAACAAAGCACCTTTAATTTATCAGTGTCCTCCTTGAACACCCACAGCTGTTTTAGATAACAACGTCCAGCATCTTTCTGTGAGACCTTGGAGCTGTGTAAGAGAAGACTATAAAATGAAGGGTTGGCATGAGGTGATCACTTCCACTTCTAAAATCCTTGTTGCTTTGATTTCATTCTCCATGGATAAATGCTCAGCTTCCCACAGAAGGAGATGGTCATACTTTCCTGCATTAAAGGCAAGCACATGGCGGTTTGCAAAAATCCTGGCTGTTTATTAGCATGATTTCTAACATATATTATATTGTATTTTAAACCCAAAGTTAAATTTCTAGAAAAGTCATATTGTAATATATAGAAGCAGTATATATCCATATACATCACTGAGTAATTTTAATTGAAGTAAGGCCTAAGATAACAGAGTTGCACACACAAGTTTCTTAAAAGCATTATTTAACATGCATTGAGAACTTGAAAAAATATATTCTTAAGGGTAATTTTATATTTATTGCACTTAATTTAACAAATTATTGCAGGAAGCACATAGACAGCATTTTCCCAGTAAAATTATTATACTTAAATGAACTTTTGACAATGTATTAATTACAAGGACATGACCACATTTATTCTGCTGATCCAGTAATTACACACATTAAAGAAATATTTATCCACAAACCATGCAGAGTATTTCAAAACAGCATTTATTGCCAAATTACATTTCCTGGATATGTGCGCCCTATTTCCAGTTACTAGTAATTTTTTTTTAATTTTAAGAGGAAGAGGGAAGTGATGAGAAATTAGAAAAATATTATATAAATAAGTGCTTACTGATGTGAAAAATTGAAATGTAGACCTTGTTAATCATAGACCGCTTTTACTTTGAAAAATAATAATGAGATACCTCAATTCATATGTTTCAGATCATAAAAAGATAACCATAATCATAACATTCCTGCTTTCCTCCTAACATTTCTTACCTTCGGTAATTAATTAAAAGCATAGCCTAAATTTTAAACTTCAGTACAATCGTCACACAAGATAAGAACTGAAGTAAATTAATGTAATGTGCAGCAATCTGAAAGATTTAAACATGCAGTTTATTTCAGAAAGCATAAAAACTTTCCTGAAATATTAACAACTGATCACAGTACAGTTAAAACTGTTCCATCTGTAACAGTTCGTTGCAACAAACATGTCTGTCTTCACTTTGGGTGCTGTAAAGGATAGCCGAAGGAGGGAGGGGAGGTTTTCATAGTGGGGGAGGACCGCAGTGAGCTATGAACTGATGAACTAGGCCATAGAATTTAACAAAAGGGACTATGTATTCTCCAGTGAAATATTTTATTAATCTTACCAAATAATGGAAATATATATCTCTAATATGACATTGTAAACTCTGGTACTCAATTCACTTCCGCATATCTTTGGAAGAGATCTTTTGATATAAACATCTCAGATACAGCCCTTAGGAAAAATTTGAAGCCCTTTGGTAAAGGGCAAAAATATATATATACTTTATCTAATTTTAAAGTTTCCATGAGAACTAATTCCACCTTTTACTGTTCCTTAATGCAGGTATATAAGAAGGTAATGTGACTAAATACTTAGTATTTGGTGTGAAAATAATAATTATAACAATGATGAAGGAATAAAGAAGAATGGAAAATCTATTTTAAGTTAATTCCTTCAAGTTACTTTATGTAGACTTGGTCACATAATCATGGCTTTTAAAAATGAAGTTAGTGCAAATACATATCGAGTTAAGCAGATATGAAATTGAAATTGAAATTTGTGTCATGATCATACCAGTTCTGTGGATATTCTTCAAATAGAAGAAATCTCCAGCATATTGACTGTTTTCTACATTTCAACCTTTCAAGAATTATAGAGACACCATTACATAGATGTCCACTCTGAATGTAGCAGTGTATTAAGGGTTTTAAGTAGAAATCATTAACTGTACCTAGTGCTGAAGTTGACACCAAATACACCCACCCATGTAAGGACTGAAATGTCTGCGGTGGGACCACATCACACTGACGCAGAATATTGCAATGAGCAGAAGACGATTGTTTCAGGTTGTATTTTTGCTGTGCGAAGGCAGGAATGTTTGGTTTCAATAAAACCCAAAGTACTTTTATTTCTAAAGTCAAGGAAGAGATTTAATAACTTCTAGGACTTCTTAAATATAATATGCGTGCCTTTTTAAAATTAACTGGTGGATATAACATTGCGTACTTTAAGCTGGATTGAAAATTCTTTGCATAGAATTTATAACTTTGCCATCTGCATGTTCCTCCTTCATGGATTCACCACCTGTGGATAAAAATGTTTAAAAAAAAATTTGTAGTAAAAAGTTACAAATTATTATTATTCTCTAAACAGTACAGTACAGCAAGCTATTTACATGGCATTTACACTGCATTACACATTATAAGTAATCTAGAGACACTTTAGAGTATATAGGAGTGTCTACAGAAGTTCTGTGGAAATACAAAGCCATTTTATATAAGGGACTTGAGCACCCACAACCATGGCAACCGTGGGGATCTTAGAATCAATCCCATATGGATACTAAGTGAAGACCTTACTACTCTTGTCAAAATACAGGAATACATTCTTATTGAACAGTATATCTTAAAAATATTATTTAATATAAAATAAGATAGTATAGTTCACACTTTGAAGATAATGAAGTAGAAGAATAAAAGAGAAATGGAAGAGATCTCTCCTGTCCAAAATCATATCTATTCATTTTAGAACTCCAGTACCGCAACCACCAAAACTAACTAAAAAGTCTTTATTGTATTTTTGCCTGAGCTACTATATAACGTTTCTAATGCTGGCAGTGATTGTGAAATATTTGAATTAGTATATGTGAGACCACATGGATAAATGCAGGTTGCTAGAAACTGAAGTAACTGGTTGATGCAAATTATCGTCATTTATTTTCAGATCTTTCATTGTGATGTCTCACTTTTTGAAAAATTATGTATAGATGAACAAACATGGAATAATAAGAATTTAAAAGATGTTTCTCCCTCAAATAACTATATTATTCCTAAGTCACACTACTGATATTTTTGCTTCAAAAGTGTTCTATGAAAAATTAATGGAAAAATGCTTTGCTTTCACTTTATACACCAAGGTCTTTGCTATTTGTCCAAATATTTATTTTTGTAGTATTTGTGGTTATCACAATTAAGCTTATACATCTGACTATCTCCCAAGAGTCAGAGTCTGACCACTAGAAAATAAGATTATCATCATACAAACCTGCATCAGTGCAATTACATTAAACAGATATGCTTGCCTGTACAAAATGGTGGTCGTTCATGGAGTTCTTAGTTCAAGATTCCTTTTCCTTATCACTTCTCTTCCATCCATCACAGTCAAGGTGCAAGTACTTGAAGAATAGCAGGAGTTTAATGATAAAGCCTAAAGTACTAATAATTCATTACTAATTGTAACAGGTAAAATTCAACACTCATTTTTCTAAAAACAATTCCAGTATGAAGTTTAGGTTTAATTTTTTTATCTTAAATCCACAGTTACTGGTGAAACTCTAATGTCAAAAACAGTTAAGCACATTTATCGTAACCATATAGTTTTAAATTAGAAATACTGGTCATAGGAAAAAATCATGATATGTAAATAAAAGGTAGAAACACTGGGGGAAAATGATTCAAATTTATTAGTTTTTGCTAATTTTTCTCCACATTAAGTTAGGTAGGTGGTAATACCAGAAAATTTGAATTATATAAATCAAAATTTAAAAAAAATTATTCTAACAGTATTTTTAAAGTCCAATTTATTTAAAAGAGACCTATAATGTACAATAAGTATATTTCAGAACATATAAAGAAAATACACTTTTCTAAAGTATTAGAAAAAATAAACACATAAACATCATAATTCTTAAGATTTGTAAGTTCAGTGTCACAGACACTGAATATTAATAGAACTGCTATGGATATTGATGAGATAATACTAAAATACATAAGGAAGAAAATAAAAAAGTGTATGTGTGAGTGTGTTTTGGGGTAAAAAGCTGAGCATTCTATAAGTACGGCACAATAACCGATTGCACCACTGGAGCTTCTAGGTGTGTATTCTATCAGGTAGTCTCTCATTGCAAAAATTAAGTGATAAATTGTTTGTCCTTGTTCCCTAAAGAATGCAAGATCACCTCGTCACATTTGAAATACAGGAAACTCTAAAGAAAAATTAATTACTTGCTACACTTTCACATGTTTCCTTTTATGAAATAGGCTTCACATTTTCTAACTTTTTTTAAAAAAATAAAACAACAGTAATATTTGCGTAGACTTGTAGAAAAGAAATGCTAATATATCAGTATTAGTTATCTCTGGCAGTAAGATTATAAAGAAGATTACTATATTCTTCATACACAATCTTATAAAACATTTTCTGTGTGTTATTTTCATTTAAAAGAAAGAAATTGATCTGAAAAATCTCCTTTTAAAACTTATCTTACACAGTCAAACTGGCCACCCATTGGTAATGTACAAACAATATCTTAAGCAATTTTACCTAATTAATTCATTTAATAATCATAATTATGTTACAGACTGGAAGATTTTGCCATCATTTCCTCGAAGCTAAGTGGCAGTGCAAGGAAATGATCCTAAGCAATATTTCTGCGGAACTCTATCTCCGGAGCAATGGTAATCAATGCTGGCTGTAGGATTATAGCAGATTTTAGGACTCTATGTCAAGTGCAACCATAACAAACTTAAAATTAGCTTCATTCATTGCTTTGATCTCAGTAAATTGCAATTATTGCCATTCTTATAACTAATTTTAAAGTAATTAAGTTAATTACTAAAATAATTTCTAAGTAAGGTAAAATAGGAAAACCTGGATCACTATGCATAATTTAAAGTAATATATTTTTGCATTTTTATTTTTGCAGACTACAGAGAAGATTTAGGTTTTGGTCACAAAGACCAAAATGCTCCTAGGTGAGAGAATTCGGTGAAAATGAACACGTATCACTGCAGGGAGGCCTGACGCTGGGACCACGCAATCTGCTCACCTCCCAGCATGCCTTTGTGCACCGTGGGGCTCTCAGGCATCCATGCAAGAATTTCTCTCTGAAACAGAAGTTAGTTACTTGGGCTAAAGCAAATCACTAGTATATGGATTTGAAGCTATCCTAAGATCAATAAAACAGAAATAAAACTGTATGTGTACTTTTGTTTCTAGGAAGAATTGTTTGTCCAAAACCAATGGTTGTCATTATCATTTTTGTTTTGTTTTGCTTTTGCTGTTTATAGATCAAAATACTAAAATCTATTTAAGAATTCCAAAGAGCTATTGTTTATTAGAAGCAATTATGACTTCCGACATGTAACTCAATAGAAATGAAGCTGAAATTTATTAAAATATGCATTCATAGAATCACTTATAAATAGCAATGATGAATGGGTTTCCTGTTATCAGAAATATTGTCTCAGCATTGACATAGATTTAACTTCTCATACCGAGAATCATTGTGTTCAAGTAAAATGTCAGGTGTTTTGTTTTGGTTTGATTTTTTATGAAAAGTTTGATGAAAAGGAAAACTTGGAAAGTACATTTTATTAACTCTAGGATATAATACTTAAATCTATGAAAAAGTGAGGAAAAGTGCTAAAATCGCAGCAAAGTTAACTTAATGGGCTTTCTACTTGAGTTTCTTAATTAATGACTTTAACCACAGTATGAAATGTCATCTTCACCTCCTTTACCTAGTCTGCCTGCAAAGCAAAAATTTCAGGCTCAGCCAGAATATTTTTTCTCTGTTTTTTGATGACTTAATTATACCATTAGTTCTGAAAGAAAAAAAGAAAATGAGAAGAAATTATTTCACTTATGAAATATCAAGGGCCCTTTCCATCCGTGTTACCTAACACATGTATTTCTAAAATGTTTCTTGTCACTGTGATTAAACTAAGTATTATATTCACAAACCAATGTTCCCACAAGTGTTCAAAGCTAGTCTTACAAATATGTTAAGCTTGTCTTCCCCAAATCAGATGTCAAACATGTAAATATATTAAAACTATCTTTTTAAATGCAGCATAACTTTGACACCTAAAATTTATCTTTGAAAATGTCAGGGGATCACTTTGGAAGTTGTAAAATATTTGGTCTTCCACTTTCTAGAACAAAAGAGAAATGAAATATTGCATCTGATTCTCAGTAACTCCCAGAATCTAGAACTCCACAAAATCTTTTATTACTTCAACAATGTATTTGTTTATTTAGATTCTTTAAGTCTCCTCCATTTATCAGATCATAATTGGGGAATTAATTGTACAATTTACGTTTTCCTTAGAGTATTATATTTGTTTAGTGAGCAGGGCAGGCAATATTAAGGAAAAAAAAGATTGGTTTATGCTGAAGCTAATGCCAGGAAAACTGGCCTCCTACCAGGTTCACTGTTGCCTGCGTTATTGGGATTATGTAAACCTGGTTTCAGGTAAACTATACCTCGTGAAAAATTGTGGGCACTTTCCTAGCGAGGAATTTATACAAATTTATAGATACAGTTGGTTATATTGGGTAGAGTCTCTTGGACTCAATTTCTATATATTGGAAGAGTCTGTTTTTGAACTTTTAAAAGTACAATGTGAGATGACTCAGGAAAAATTCCAGAAAGAATTTGAATGATGGCCTTATAAGTTTCAACATTTTAATGTTATTACTTCAAGAGATAATCTTTGAGATTTTCATGAACATGACTGGGGATTCTGTTAGGAAAAATTGTGAGTCTTTGCGGTAAATTGAAAAAGGTTGACAGGTGTCCTGAGGAGAGTATCTTTGTAGGCTACCTATCTCCACGTTGTACAGATATCGTGTGTAGTTTAATGAACTATGGAAAAGTCTCTAAAAATGGTTCTTGTCATAGAAATACAAACAGATTTTATCCAGTGGCAAGAAATCAGATGTTTTCCTATGTATATTGATAACCTGTGGCTATTTATCAGTTGAAATCTATTAGTAAATTAATTACAACAGTGCTCATTGCTGCTTGTTCCATCATTGTCTGTCATGCAGATATGTGCATGGATAGAATATGCATATATATATATACAGTACAGTGGTGTCTTGGTTCATGAGCTGAATTCATTTCATGATTCTGGGGAAGCTGGTCATAGTCATGTCTGTCACCCAATATGGAGTTCAGGAACAGAAGCAAAATTTTGCGAGATGCTTCTGTTTATGAATCCAACTGTTCACCAACGGAAGTGTTTCTGAACTGAGGTATTAATGCAATGTATTTTTTAAGTTGTGAGCAATCTTTAACATAATGTTTCAATATCTTGTCTGATCATGTTACACTATCATGCCATTTCTAACAATAATTTGGTAATATGAAATTTTATACCTGTTGCCTAAAAATGAACAATTTTCTGATCATTTATTCAAAGGCAGAACAAATGAGTTCTCCAAGATAAAATACATGAGCACCATTTCTGCTTCAAGACACACTGAAGAAAATGCAGAAGAGAAGCCCAGGAAGGGGAGGCAGGATCTTACCATGTTAGAAATGTCGGGTCATGTTGCAGAATCTTGTTTATGTTTTTCTCTCAAAGAAAATGTAAGTTTATTAAATGGTTTATGGGATAAGGTGAGATAAATTTTAAATACTTATGTCTCATTTCAAAAATATAGTCTGTGTATTATGGAGAGTGGGCAGGAAAGGACACTGTGGAAGTAGGCTGCTGCAGTTTAAGTGCGATACGAAAGCTTTAGAAAAACTGGTAGCTTCAGATTGGTTACTCAGATAAACAAATATAGGCATGTAAGATTCAGTAAACTATGAAATATTAACTGACTACAACCGTTGTTAATTTCCTCCGAACTTGCTTGAAATTCTATATTGTTTTCATTGTTTTTGTGTTGCTGTGCTTACAGCTTTGTGGTTGTTAATTTGCTTTTGTTATTTTTTCTTTAAAACAAAATAAAAAAAGAAAAACTTCTAGCAGTGGATGGGTGGAGATGGAAATAAGTGGATTAGGTGAAGCTATTTTCTAAAACAAAGACTCATCTACTCATTAATTTTTCTAGTTTTGCTATTCATATATGCAAATTTCCTTTACCTTATAATCCAGTGTAAGAATATTTTGTAGCTGGGCATGGTGTTATATGCCTTTAATTCCTGCATTTGGGAGGCTGAGACAGGAGGATCTCTGAGAGTTTAAGGCCAGCCTGGGGTACATAGTATGTTCAAGGCCAGCCTGAACGACACAGAGAGACCTTGTCTCAAAACAATAACATCCACAAAAAACGTAATTTCATATTTACTTCTGAGTGTTCCTCTGAATCTTTGTTAATAGAATTCATGCAGCCAGGAAGACAAGAAAAATGGAAGCGTTTGGCAAGTGGCGAATGATATGCAGTATTTTCTGAGGGTGATCTATGGAAGAATAAGGGTTAAGGCAAGGATTTCTGTACTGGGGATTGATCGTATGGCCTTTGCACTCGGCTGCTTCCTCAGTCCATTTATTTATTTATTTTTCTTTTTGGTTTTCATTTTGGAGCTAGGGTCTCACTAAATCAGTAAGTTTTTCTGACTGGGCTCAAATTTGCTATGCTCTTGCTTTGATCTTCCACAGTATAGGAATTACAGAGTAGCTGACTATGGACATGCAACCAGGTCAAATAAAAGTTTACAGAATGTAGGCATGCTATATGCTGCAGACTGTTTTGTTTTCTAATGTGAATATTTCTGTGTGTGTGTGTGTGTGTGTGTG